TAAGCCGAAGCCAGAGATCAGATGTTGAACATCATAGATTGATTGGGTTGTTTAAAAAAGGAGTGGGATTCCTCACCTACTTAAACCCTCTGCAGGGCGCCCGCTTCATGACCACAGCCATGTATGATGCCCGGGAGGCCATCATCCCAGGATCGGTCTATGACCGGAGCAGCCAGGGTGAGTACGCTGTGTGGGGTCCTGGGCCTGCACTGAGGATGTTGACCCTTCCCACGCCTGCACTGCCTATGTCCACAGAAACTTGCGTGATGAGTTCCTTTTCAGCTTCCCTCTTCTGAAATCAAAGAGTGGTCTTTGGCAGCTTCTAAAAACAAGGTGTTTTAAAATAACACAGCTCTTCCTGTTTGTCTGGGTGCCCCAGCCTACCCTGTGCTCCCCTTCTCAATGGGAAGTCACACCCACAGTGCCTCCAGGTGGTCCGCAGCCTTGTTTCAGGTTTTACTTCCTTCCCGAAGCCTCCACTTGCTTTCTCAGAACTCGTAGTTGGGTGCATGTCCTTGTCTCCTGTGTGGGGGCTCTGTATATCCTAAGGCTGCCTGGAACACCTCCTCCTGCCTGAGCCAGTTTGTAGACAGTTTCTGTTCATCCCCCAGGTCCCTGCCTGCCGGGACCCTTCCCCACTCCAGCCCCTGCAGACAGTGGCCACTGCGCCCAGGCTGTCAGTGCGACCTGCTCATGTTTTACCTTGGGCTTTGTTCCCTCGTGTGCTCGCCATCCATCCTGAGGGCAGGTGTACCCCAACCCCTCCTCTCACATGTTATATTAGCAGCCCCCTTTCCTTGACCCTGTATTCTCCTAGTCACTGAGCTCAGATTGGAAACTGTGTTCTCTAACAGCAAAACTCTCATCCCCACATCCAGTGAGTCACCATGTAGCTGAGGGTGTCGACAGGTCCTCTCCCTGAGTCCCTTGGGGGCTGACCCGGAAGGCCACACTCTCAGGCCCAGGCTCCAGGGGCCTTTTGTCTATAGTAGATCCACTGGTCTATGGAGTTTAGGCGTTTTCTTGCTTTTTGCTGTGTGGGTGGGTGTGTATGTGAGAGAGATGAACGTATATTTTGGCACAAAAAGGACCTTCTTTATTTGAAATGCTGTGTGGTGGTTCCCAATTTCTTGGGTCCCCGTAGCAGTGGTTCTCAGAATCCCCTGGGAGAAAAGACAGTTTCCTGGGCACCAGACCCCAGCAGGTTGAGAAGGGGATTGACTGAGAATCTACAGCAGGCTGCTCTGCTGTGGGGCACCCCAAGAACCACAGGCATAGCAGAGACAGGTGGGATAGCATCCCACCGTGGGCAGAACAACTGACTGGAGGCGGACAGCAGGATCACCTGGACCCGGTGGGTGATGCACCATCCGCCCTATCTTGTAGGCCGGCCCTCAAACATGTACTTCCAGACCCATGACCAGCTCGGCATGATCAGCGCTGGCCCCAGCCACGTGGCCGCCATGAACATCCCCATCCCCTTCAACCTGGTCATGCCACCCATGCCACCCCCAGGGTACTTTGGACAGGCTAACGGACCAGCTGCAGGTGAGCAAGCACCCGGCCTCCAAGCAGTCACATTTGTCTGTAAGGCTCAGACCTCCTTCAAGAATTGGAACCCTGGATGCTGTCTTTTAGGCCGGGGTACCCCAAAAGGCAAGACCGGTCGTGGCGGACGCCAAAAGAGCCGCTTTGGGCTTCCTGGGCCCAACCAGACGAACCTGCCCAGCAGCCAGGCTAGCCAGGATGTGGCGTCACAGCCCTTCTCGCAGGGCGCCCTGACTCAGGGCTACATCTCCATGAGCCAGCCTTCCCAGATGAGCCAGCCCGGCCTCTCCCAGCCCGAGCTGTCCCAGGTGAGCCAGCCACACTGAAACTGAAACATCTCACACCTGCAGAGAAGTCAGACCATCCCTGGGTGCCCTCTCCACATACACAGACCCCTCCCCCCCAACACCCCAAAAGAATGGAAGGAGGATTATCTACTGCATGACTGCCCTCAGCAGTGGGACTGTAGGTCTAGAACATCCCATCCATGACACCGCCCTTCCAGTCCCAGGCAGCTGGTCTGGGTCACCTGTTTCTGGTGAGGTAACCAGTGTGGGTGTCCCGCTGCTCAGTCATGAGGACCAGGTTTCCGGATTCTACTCTGGGCTGGGGAGGGGCTGGACATGGAGCAGGTTCTCGATGCTGCGAGGACGTGTAACTGACCACTCATCTTTCCAACCATGTCTTTCAGGACAGTTACCTTGGCGATGAGTTTAAGTCCCAGATCGATGTTGCGCTGTCACAAGATTCCACATACCAGGGGGAGAGGGCATACCAACACGGCGGAGTTACGGGGCTGTCCCAGTACTAGAAGGCAAGCCAGCCCTAGAGGAGGGTTTCACCAGGACCTGGACTTATGGGAAAACTCAGAAAACGGTGGGAGTCTCAAGTTCCCGAGGGGCCAGCTCGTCCTGTGACCTATCACTTCAGGTCCCTGTGCCTCTGCTGAAACTCTCCATGTCACATCCTCTCCTGAGAGTCCTAGAACTCCCAGGCGGGCAGGGAGGAGGACATACCTTTTGCCCTGACTGGCAGTTCATGAGGGTGACAGAGGTCCCAGCCCCAGGTGTGCAGGGCACTTCTGTAAGAGGTGCCCCTAGGTGCCTTTGAGAGCTGTTGTGCGGTTCCCATCTGTGTGCCAAGAAAGTGGGGTGCTGGTGCTGCTGGAAGAAGGGATGCCACTCTTAACCACACAGGCTCTAGCCTTAGCTCTCAGCTGCCTTCTCTCTGGGTGGGGAGTCACTGGTCTGGGGGCTGTCCAGCACCTGAGGTCCCATTTCACAGGTGAAGATAAAGGTGCAAAGTGGGGTGGGGGGAAAGCCCCTTGCCTTTAAGGTGGGGGCCGGGTTCCCATGCTTGACGGCCTCTTGCCCACCCTCCCTTCCCACAGGTGGCGGCGGAAGAGCTAAGCTACGTGGCTTAGTCCATCAGCATCTTATTCTGGGTAATAAAAAATAAAAATAAATGGATACCTGTTTTCCACTGCTAAAACTGAAGCACCACTGTGAGCAACAGGAGAGGGAGAGGATCACCCGAGGGAGAGCAGCCCGAGATAGCAAGCGCCCACTGCTGGCACCGCGGCGAGGAGACAAGAGGGAGAGCGGAGGTGGGGCCGGCCCGCCCGTGAGCCCTGCAGCCCGCTCGCCAAGGAGGCCCAGCTCGCCGCATCCACACCTGGGTCTGCGACCAGGCGGAGGGAGGAAGACCCTCATCTCAGAGTAGCCCTTTCCTCTGTTCTTTCTTTCTTTTTCTCTTTTATTGAAAGGGGACTACGTTTTAGCAGGAACAACTCGCATTTCTGTGCTGAGCAGGCTCCTTGCAGGTGGCAGCTGTGCCGAGAGAGCCCTGCAGAGGCTCAGGTTCTGTCCACGCTGTCTGAGACCATGTGGCCATGCTGCCTGTGTTCTAAGAGGGTTTTCATTTAAAGAAAATACGGTGTTTTGGGATTTTCTGTTTGTTTTTTAAAGATACTTTCAAAGGAGTACTGAAAAATACACTTTCCTGAGTTTCTCTCAGATCTTAGTGGTGGACCTGGGAGATGCAAGAAGCTTCCAGAAACAAAGTTTGAAGGAGCCACACAACAAGGTTAGGATCAACAGCTGTGATGTAATCATGGAGAGGAGGATTTTTGTTTTCAGTTTAGCTTCCAGTGGCTTCTCCCTGTGCATCAGGGCAGTGAGGGAGCACGGCCCCAGCCGATGGGCGACTCCACGGTCCCTGCTGGACTCCAAGAAGCAAGGCGCTTCCCATGAGCAGCGGACTCGGCTCCCTGAGGGATCCTGGCAGGACTGACTGTGAGGACAGAGGGTGGGAAGGTGGCTTCTTCCCCAGGGTCCTTCCTGAGGAAGACAGCAGCCAAGAGGACCCTTCCCCAGAGAGGTGCCCATAGTCGCTGTGGCCTTCAGACAAGCCGAGTGCCCCGCTCCCCTTATTCTCCACCTCATTTCCAAGTTTGGAGCCCCTCTAATTGTGGGCACAGCTTCAATGAGGTGGGGTGGTTTCTGCTTTTTTTGGAAAAGTTTCAAATAAGTTGGTTCTGTGCCGAAGGTGCTTGAAGTAGTTTGTCCCATCAGCTGGTACAGGGGCATCGGCCTGGGTCTGTGTTCTGGAAGTTCTTGTGGCTGGGAGAGCCCCCCTCAGCTCCTTGCACACCATGGGGTGGGGATTATTAATCTCTCTGGTGACCGCCTAGTTGGGGACCGTCCCCTGCCTACCCAGGCCTTAGTAACCCTGACCCCCAGCGTCCCCTCTCCATGGCGCCCTTATCCCAAAGCCTTCAGATGCCAGCTGGTACATGGAGAGATGGGGACACCCAGGCACCTTCCTTCTGACAAGGCCTCTTTATTTATCCCATTGCTGTAGGGCTTTGGTCCCCTTCTTTTGATAGGCCACCTAGAGGCATCTGGCTTGGATAGGCTTCTGCTGTGACCCTGTACACCTACCCACTGCCCTGTTCCTTCCTTGGAGTGCTCTGCCTCTGTGCTGTTGGCTTTGTTCACCTTCTAGCAGCAGTTACTCTGACTTTTCCAAATCGAGGAGCATCTGTACCAAGGCAATGTCACTTTTGATTTTTGGTCAATTTGTTTTAAGCTCTTTTGTCACCAATAAAATCTTAAACAACTCTTGGCATTCATGGGGCTGGACAAACTGCAGGGGGTAGGAGAGCACTTGGTCTGGGGGCCTGGCTGGTTGGGGGACTCCGCCACCTCTAGGGCAAAACTGAGGAGGGCTGGATTTGCAGAGGGGACTGGAAAGGGCTGTTGGGCCTGCAGGGGAGGGGGGGGCGGCGCGGGCAGCAGCTCCCAGGGTGCCCTAATATGCACCACTGCCTAGAGATGGGGCTCTTAGGAGGCAGATGGCCTCACTGGAGGACCCCCCACCCCTGCCGTCTGTAGGATGGATGCAGCAGTTTCCTCCCTCAGCCCTAGCTGACGACCCAGACGAGCAGCTTGAACCATTGGACCACGCAGTGTTTATTGGGCCCTGCTCCCGTCTGTTACGTCAGCGGCAGCCGCACTCGTCCACCACCATGTCCTCGTAGTGTCGCAGGACCACGTTGTCGCTGTTGTCAAAGAAGAGCACGGAGATAGGCGACAGGCGTGCGGGCACACAGCAGGGCAGGCCGGCGGCGCTGGGGACAGCCGAGTGCATGAGCGCACGCAGTACAGCGTGGTTGAGTGCGGGTGGCCCGCCGGGCCCAGGCAGCGTGGCGGGCAGTGAGCACTGGCCCTGGCAGTAGTTGGCGAGGAAGCCGCGCGGCGCGATGACCCAGCGGTGCCAGCCCACCTCGCGGAAGCTCACGTAGAGCCGCCGTGCGCGACATGCGCTGCTGGGGCCGCCGCCCACCGCGGGCTCGGCTTCACGCCGCGGTCGGGCCAGGGGGTGGCACAGGCGTGGGTCGAGGGTTACCAGCAACAACGAGGCCTCGGCCAGGTGCGCGCAAGCGCCGGGGGCCTGGGGACGCAGCGCCAGTGCCAGGCAGAGGCTGCGCGGCGCTGAGGCATTCCAGGCCCAGGCGGCGCCCAGCAGCTCCGCGTGCACTGGTGTTTCCAGGGCAGCCACCGCCTGGCGGAGCAGCACTGGGCCTGTGCCCACGCCCTCGACCGCTGGCGCCACGCTCAGCTCCCAGCCGGGCGCTGCACCAGCTTTCGCTTCCGCCGCCTCGAAGCGCAGCTCCAGGCGGGCCCGGCTCGGGAGCTCGGCGGGTTCAACGGCTGACAGGTCGAAATCGATGGTCCACTCCGGGCATTGCCCCGCGGTCATGGTGGGTTTTGGGGTCCGGGCTTGCGCACCTGAGGAGGCAGGGAGAGGGCTCGGCTCGCGCTGCGTCCCTGCTCGGTGCCCGCCTGCGTGCGAAGAAGTCTTGGTTGGGGGGGGGGGGAGGTGAGCGCCTAGGGCTGAGGGCGCAACCATCTGTTATAAGGCGTCAAATGGTGTGAAGGAAGGGGAGGGATGGAGTGGGGGCAGGGGCATCGCTTGCAATAAAAGACGTGCCCAGTGCAGGGTGGCCTGCCTGTGTCAGGTACTCAGGCAGGGGACAGAGATGAGCGAACGCCTAGGGCCAGTTAAGATGCGATGCTGGGCCCGGAGGGGGGCATCTGTTGGAAGGCTTCAAATGGTGTGAAGCAGCAGATGGGGGAGGAGTGTGGCAGGGCTTCAGCAGCAAGCAAGGGTCCTTGCCCAGTGCAAGGCAGCCTGACCTTGTTGCCACTCCCCGGGTCTCCACAGGTATCCACCGGGAGGAGTGCATGGAGTACAGGGGCCTAGATTGCTCGTGGGCTGAACGGGGCGGGTGGGTATCCTCGGTGCCGCTGGAGGCTTGTGGCGGGCTGGGGCGCCCAGGAGGTCTCGGCCTCCCAGGCCCATACTCGCAACACAGGCACTACTCACCGCGGTCCGGGATGTGGCGCACTATGTTTCCGGCGACCCCCAGCTCCTCCACGTGGCATGGTCTCAGGGTGGCCCCTGGAGGCGTCCATCGCAGTTTTGCCCTGGCCTCCTGGGGGTCCCGGCGGCGGAACAGGCGCCACATGAGGGGGGGTACGGGCCGGGGCTTTGGGGCGCCCCGGGGCGCGTCGCGCAGCCCAAGAGCCTGGAGCAGAGCGGCGGCGGGGCCTGGAGCCGTGGGGCCGCGGGCCGGGAGCGGCGAGGGTAGCAGCAAGGCCAGGAGGAGGGGAAGGATGCGGTGGCCTGGAGGGCGTAGCGACGGTCGCATCCTCCTCGCAGGCAGCGACCAGACGAGTGCTCAGGGGTCCGCGTCTGGGCGGGGTCAGGGTCCTGGGAGGCGTGGCCGCAGCCCTGAAGCTGGGCAGGGGTCCCAGGAGTGGCCAGAGCCCTGGAGGGGCGGAGCTGGACGGGTCAGGGTCGGGGGTGGGGAAGCGGCGTGGCCATCCCTTGAGGCGAGGTTGGGCGGGGCTGGGTCCTGGGTGATGAGGCGGGAGTCGAAGGGTTCAGAAGCGTTTGTCCTTCACCAGGCCGTTCCTCAGCGGCCTCCTGGGGGCCAAAACCGGGCCCGGGTTAGCCTGGGGGCCCCAAAACTCCACGTACCCTCTGTCCCCCCTGCCTTGCCCTCCACATCCCTTTTCCCAGCCTTGCTCCTTGTCGGGCTCCTCACCCACAATTAAACCCTCCTCTCCCCTCCCCCCTTTCTTCCCACCCTGGGCCCCGCAGCTGCTGGAGAGCAAATGCCACCTACCCACCTCTGCCCGACTTAACCCCAGGCCTCAGCCTGGATCAACCCTGCACTTTATCTTCCTTCCCTCCCAGGGAGGCAGAACTGGCCAGAGGCCCCTGCCACCCCCTGCAGTGCTCCAGTGGCCCTGGCTGGCTCATAGCCCCACCAGGACAGGCTTCCCTGCCCTTTCATTCTCCATCCACTGTCTTTTGTTTACACTGCTACAGCCCCTACTTGCCTTCCATGTTTTCAAAACAAGTTACACAGAATTTTAAAACTGGAATCAATATGCTAAGTGTCCAGTTTAAGATCCCAGAGAAAGGCCCCTAACTTCTAAGCAATATACATGGTTTGCATATTTTAAACTTTACAAAGATGTCTTCAATTTTCCAGAAACATGACACTTTGAGATCTCTCCCATACACACTGCTGTCCCCCATAAATTCCCTTTTCCTTGCAAGTCTCTGGGATTCTAATGTGCCAGGAGCGGACCTGTGTGCCAGGGGTCTGCCCAGGCCCATGTTAGTGGACCTGACAGGGGTTTCTGCCGTTGCTCCTGACCGTCTGTGCCAAAGTTCAGAGTCGTATCCTATTTGGCCAGCTGGTGCCCAGATGGCATCTCACTGCAGCCTAAAGTCAATGGCCATTGGCCACTCCTGTCCCTGCGTAATGGGAACTCGATACCTTGGTACACGGTCAACTGGTCTCTGTAGAAGTGGGTTCTACAGTCTAGTTTACACACAATTTTATTGTTTTGTTGAGCCAGTAATATGTTCACATTATCTAGACATCAGAAAGCGTAGAAAACCCAGCCGGCCAGAGCCACTGCTAGGGTGTAGCCTCACATAGACACTAGCAGACACCTTTCACATAATAACATAGACTTTCATGGGGAAGATTGTCTCGGCCACTTTAATTCATTCTTTCCTTGGGCTGGAGCCACTGGCTGTCCTTTCATGGGAGCATGCATCCCATCCTTGCTGCTTTTCCCGGGGTCATTGCTCTTCTCTTGCTGCCACCAGCAGGAGCCTTTTATCTGTGAGGCTGTAGATAAGCCCTAGGACCTCCATGTGTCCTTTGTCTTCTGGCTTTGCCTGTTGGTCCTTTAGATGAAGCAGAGGGAGGTCCCTGACTTTTTTACTCTTCTCATACACAGTTCAATTGCTAGACAACACAATGTCCCATATTGGCTCTAGTGGCGAGTTCACGGCTTCCACTCTTGCATGGACATCTTTGACCCACAGGAGTTTGCCCTGGGGACTGAGGCGAGATAATCTCCAGATTTGGCCATGAGTGTCCCACCGTGTTCTGACAGTCCTTCCTTCCCTCCTGGTGACCTTTAGTATTTGCTCAAGTGTGATGGATTCGGCTCTGTTCCCGCACAGTTTTAATTCCTGTGCTTTTACGTAAGTTTAATGCCTTCAGAATCGGTACCCCTGCCCAGCGCCTTTTTTTTATCAGTTTTCCTGGTGATTCTGGATTGTTTTAGCCCAAGCTTCCAAGTGTCCCTCTCCCCCTCATAAACAACGTGTGTTTTTTTTTTCTGGGGCGGGGGTGGGGGAGGCGGGAATAGTCTCTTTATGATGTCAGAAGTATACTTTTCAGTTTCAGTGCACCCCTGTGGGGAAAGAGAATCGGGAGGGAGAAGGTGGAGGCTAGAGGACCAGCGACGACTCAGGAGGGTTTCTGGATGTTTCCTGGAGGATGAAGAGAGGCGGATGGAGGGGCTCCCTCAGGTCTCCAAAGGTTTTCACCCTGAGTTGCCATCAACTGTGATGGACAAATGTTCGGGAAAGGTGGTTTGGGGTGGGGTGGGGGCGTTATTTGGGATATTTTAGAAAAGTGATGTTCCACTTTGAATGTCAAGCAGACACTGGAGACAGAATGGCACTCAGGAGCACGGCGAGCTGGGGGAGAAACTTGGAAGTCGGAGTGCATTAAGTGAAAGGACCCTGGGAGGCTGGCAGGGAGGCCTCTCTGGGAGCAGGAAGCACCAGGAGGTGGGGAAAAGGATGTCAAGAAGTGGGGAGCAGGGCCGGCCGAGTGGCTCAGTTGGTTAAGAGCTCGCTCAAGAGTTTGAGCTCTGAGCAACAGTGGTTCGATGCCTGGCCCGAGCTGAGCTGCCAACAGGTGGCAGGATGGCTCAGCTAAAAAAAAAAAAAGAAGTGGGGAGCAGACTAGTGGTTGTGTAAGGGGGCACTGGGTTAGGTGCTGGGGTTTCTTTGGGGGGGTGATGAAAATGTTCTAAAACTGTGGTGATGGTTGTACAACTCTGAATGGACTGAAACATTGTATTATACAAGGAAAATGGGCAAATTATGTGGTATGTGAATTCTGTCTCAGTAATAACTGTTATAAAAGAAAAAAAGAAGGAAAGGTGACCCCAGGTTTAGCACTAAGAAGGCTTCAGTGAAGCCAGACAGAAGTGGTCTTAGGAGGTGGTGGGGAGAGGATCCTGGAGGGGCGTGGGTGTGAGAATGGAGGGGAATGGAGGAGTTCTGCTGAAAGGGAATGAAAGAAGCTGGTGGGGCTGGTGCCGAAGGGTGGAGAGAGAGCGTTTCTCGCCTTGATCAGAATGTCCTGAGCAGGCCAGGTTGTCTGTCAAGGAAATGGATGATGGTGACAGCAGTTGGCAGCCAAGGAGAAGGAAGGGAGAATCAAGTGAGAGCAGGCATACTTGCACTGCTTGGGTATTGCCAAGGGCCCTCTGGCCCATGTTGGTGCTGCAGTGTGAGCCAGACGTATGGGTCACAGATCTTTAGACACAGGGGGCATCGTCCGAGAACTGGGTGTACAAAGCAGTGAGGTATCATTGGGTGGATCAGCAGACCGAGAATGGGGTGAGGGTGCCTTTGGGGATGGTGGTCCCGGTGGCCCCTGAGAGGACGATGCGCTTCGGACCAAGGTGCTGAGTCATGATCAGGCACAGGGGCCAGCCCAGGGAGGTGGTCTAGGAAGGTGGTCCACCAGATGACCAGCTGCCCAGTTGTGGGGGTGATCAGGAGAGAAAACAGGGGTAAGCAGGAGTGAAGAAGGGGCAGGGCCAGGAAGGGATCGGTGCTACTTAATTGTAATATGGTTTGTTTCTCCTGAATTACTTGAAAGTGTTCTTTCAGTAGTCATTTTCTTACTGAATTTTCGTCTATAACGGTCTGCGTGATCCTGGCTTTGAGCAATTAAAGTTACCCCTGTGGCTTGGTGTGGTCAATTCTGAGAAATGTTCCTGTGTGTTCACCCTGCTTCTGCGCTGCTGGACGAGGAGCACAAAACACGGACTGTAGCTCCTGTGGTCCCGTCAACCCAAGGTTCAGGGCTTCACCATGTGCAACATTCCAGGTCAAGAATTACACCTGAATTTCTCTTCCTCTTTCACTTGTAACATTTATGTACTCTAGAGTTGAAGTCTTTTTAACTTTTAACAGAGGTAGATTCTTTTTTTAAACCCAAACTCATAACTGTCATGATTATTCATGTATGTTTATTTGGATGCCTACTTGAGATTCTACCTTCTTATTTTGCATTACTTATGCTGCTTTTTCTAATCTCCCTTTTTGGCCTTTATTTGGTTGTACCTGTTTTTTATTCCATTCTCTACACCCTGGTAGTATTAACATAAGTGGCTAATACAGCCTAAAGGTAATCCCAACCCTCTTGCAAATGCAAATCCCCCAATCCCATTTTGATAGTTAATACTTCCGTTCTAATTTTTTTTGCTCTCAAATTAGGCATTTAAAATATTTACCAAGTTATGTGTCGCTTTTTCTGATTATCTGCCTCTTGAGAGAGCTTTCCTGTTTTCTGAAACATAACTTTCTTAGTTTCTGTTCCTGTGGGTGTCCTGTCTCTTGTCTTTAAAATTGTGTCCGAAATTCCTGGTTGCTTGTTACTTTATTTCAGTACTTGAGGTGATACTTTACTCCACTATGTCTAGCCCAACATCTCTTGTTACTGTTAGTCTGTCATTGTTTCATAGATCATCTCCTCTTTTCTGTGGATGTTTGCATTTTAATTATATCTTCGGAACATGGATACCTTTTTATTCATCCTGCTTATGATTGATGTCTTGTCACTTTTTGGAAAATTCTCATCATATGTCTTCTCATATTGTCTGTCCACACCTGTCTCCTATTAGAACTCAGCTAGACCTGGTCATTCTTAGAATTCTAGCTGCCATAGTTTCCATCGGTTTTTGCTGCATTCTGGGTAATTTCTTCACAGATTTCAATTTATTGATTCTTTCTTCAGTTGTGTCTAATCATGTGAGCCTTAACAGCTGTAGTAGGTTGAATGGTGGTCTCTGAAAAGAGAAGTCCACGTCCTAATTTCTGGAACCTGTGAATGTGACTTTATTTGGAAAAAGGGTCTTTGCAGATGTGATTAAGTAAAGGAATTTAAGTCAGAAAAGCCAGAGAGAAGGCCATGTGAAGACAGGCAGAGATCAGAGTGATGCAGCCACAAGCCAAGGAACATCTGGAGTCCCAGAAACTGGAAGAGGCAGAAGGATCTTCCCCTAGAGCCTTCAGAGGGAGTGTGGCCCTGTTGACTCCTTGAGTTCAGACTTTTGCCCTCCAGAACTGTGAGACAATAAGTTTCTGTTGTTTTGAGTCTGTGGTACTTTGTTATGGCTGCCCCAGGAGAGTAATATAACATCCAGTGCTGTTTTTGATAGTCTCTCATGCCTTTTATTTTTTTAATAAACTTTTTATTTTAGAATAGTTTTAGATTTGCAGAAAGGTTGCAAAGATAGTACAGAGGGCTCTAGTGTAGCACTCACCAGCTTCCCGAATGTTAACATCCTGCATCTCCACTGTACATTTGTCACCACTAAGAAACCAATGGTGGGACACTGCTACGAACCAAACTGCAGACTTTATTTGGATTTCCCCAGTCTTTCCACTGCTGTCCTTTTTCTGGTCCAGGATTCCACAGTGCATTCAGTTCTCTGATCTGGGACAGGTCCTCAGTCTCCTTGGTTTCCACGACCTGACAGTTTTGAGGCATCCTGACCACCCCATCCTTATACCCAACTGCGGTAACTTGAGCTGTCCTTGGGGAATCGAGTTCTGCTGGTGGTGGTGGTGGTAGTGCTCATGAGGTTGGTCATGGCATCTTCTCCCCTGACACACCCTGTCATTACTGTTTGGAGTTTACGCTCTGCTATCCTAGTGGGAATGATGGTGGGGTGCCAGGCTCCCAACACACATTCTGGCTGGATGTTCTTGGGGAGACAGGAGGGAGAACCAGGCGGGGCTTGAGGGTGTGACCTTGGGCTCTGCATTTATAAGGACTTTCCACCAAGAGTTCACTGTGCTACAGCAGGAAGAGCTTCCAGATTTTTAGATTTGGCCAAGCAGGTGCCTCCCCTCCCCTGCCCTGGAGCTCTCTGAGCTACCACTGCTTCTGGATGCCTCTAAGGGTCAGTTGGACTCCTTGCTGAGACCTCAATGATCTCTTGGCAGAATTCCTGACTCATGTTCCCTGGACATTGATGATCAAACACCTCCCAAACCAGACTGCTATCCCCCCCTCTACAGCCACACACAGCCTTGCCTGACTAAATGGCAGCTTGAGCCAGAAGTCTTGGGTTGTCTTTGATTCTTTTATTTCAGTTGTACCTACATCCAAAGCAAATATGGTCGGTTCTACAACAGAGTTGGGATCTGACCCCTGGGGTGGTCTCACCTGCTGCCCAGCCCACTCGTGTCCGTGATCCCCGTGCACCTGCCTGATCCCTTCCTACCCTGCTGGCTTTTTGGCCTGGGCACACCTTATCTGTAGTCCCGTGGTGGTGGGTGCAAAGTGCTTCTCTTTATTTGAGCCGGCCCTGAGAGCCCTCCCTTGATCCCACGCTCTGCTCTGGCAATGCCCCTGTTCTCTGCACCCCTTGTCCTGTCTTTACAGAGATTTTTAAATCTCTGCCCCTCTCATCCTCCTCACTGCTCATCCTGACCCACCTCATTGAGCTCTGAGCTCACTGCTTCACCACAACCACCTTTCCCAGGTCAGTCACTGATGACCCCCCCCAGAGGCCAAATCAGGTCTGTTCATTCAGCACCCCGACCTCCCACCGGCTCAAACACAACGTACATTACCTCTGAGGCTCTGCATACCCTAGACCCTGCTGGTTACCCAAACCTGCCTCCATTTACTCCTGGGGCCCCTCCAGGCCAGGGGCTTCAGATACCATCTGGCTCACATGGGGGGCTGGTGAGTCCTAAGAGCCCTGCCTCTAGGATGCTCGATGAGGCCCCCTTTTCTCTCCTTCCCTAGGACTCCCACCTGGGCTGGACTGGTCCGAGGCCCCAGCCCCATCTCCTGCTTGTGTGGCCAGTGGGCCAGGGAGCATCAGCACACACAGAGTGTGAGCTCTCTGGGCCACCAGTGCAATGCCCTCATCCCCACCTCCACTGTCACACACTTAGAGGTTACCCTCTGGCCTGGCCAATGACTGCCCCTCACCACCCATGGGGCCCTCACTCGCCTGCTCCGGCCACACCAGCCCCTGGGCTTGGCCCTCACTGCTCCACTGATGACACCCGGTACTTGCCCCTCACCACTCTGCCCCACAACGACCTCCCTACCCCCTCCTCACTGTCTGTGCTTACATCATCTAACTCTGTCACTACATTATCCATGCCTTTACTGCAGTCTCTGTTTTGGACGTAGGCTCCGGAGGCAGCATCTGCTACGGCCTCATCTGCTGCTGTGTCTCCAGGGCCCGCCCATAGAGCGTGCTGAGACTGACAGGCGTGGCTAAAGGAAGAACCCGGGGCGGCGGCCCCTCCACACTCACTCAGCTTTGCTGGGCTTGGGGCTCGGGGCCTCTGCTGCATCGTATTCCCGCACATCCTTCAGCTCACGCACCTGGCCTGTCAGCACCTTGGCAGCAAAAGCCACGATGTACTGTGGAAGGTGGAGGGAGGCACAGGTGAGAAAAGAGCCTTCCCAGATCACACTGCCCTCCTGATGGCCGTACGCTCCCGCCACGGGCTGTTTGCATGTGCTGTTCCCCATGCCTAACACGCCCCTCCCTGGGCGTGCCTGAGAAGGGCCTGCACCTGGACTGCTGCCCCGGGATGGGGACCAGGACAGGACTGCTGGTTGAGAAAGTGGGTGTGTGAGGAGTTGTGAGAGGCCTACTCACCAGGAACCAGTAAAGGTTCATGAGCGTGAGAAGCAGCAGGAGTGTGTTGAAGAAGAAGTAGAAGGGAATGTCAGGCACTGAGCGCAGGCTGCAGTGGCATGTGGCATACAGGACCTTGAGCGGGAACCAATAGAGGCGGAACCAGAACCTGTCGTGGGGAGGAACAGGTAGGGGAAGCTGTGGGCAAGAGGACGGGTGGCCCCATCCAGTCCCTGTCCTGTCCCATCTGGGCTCATCTGTCCCTGCTCATTCCCACCCAACCTTGTCCCACTGCCCCATTCTTGTTTGCCCCTGCCCATCTGTCTCCATTCCTGCTGTCCTTTCCTGCCCAACCATGCTCCTTAACCACTCACTCCATTCATCTCCTTTCTTTCCCTGCGAGGCCCCGCCCCTTCTATAAGCCCCACCTCCTTTCTTACCAGGCCCTACCTCCTTTCCGGCCTGGTCGCCCCCTTCCCGCAAGCCCTGCCTACTTCCGACTAGCCCTTCCCCTCCTACCAGGCCTGCCTTCTTCCCTGCATAGCCCCGCCCACCCACACCCAGTCCCCGCCTCCCATCACGCCCTCCCCTGTCCTGTCACGCCCATTTTCACCAGCCCCGCCCATCCCTGCCCCTGCTCTATAGGCTCACCAGCTGAGGCTGAAGCTGAGGCAGCCCAGGTCTGCAGCCAGGGCATGCAGTGGATGGTGGGAACCTCCGCGGGACTTGAAATAGACATTGAGCTTGGTGAATTCCAGCTGTACATCGCTGATGTCATGCAGGAAGAGCACCAGAATGCCTACATTGTGGTACCTGGGTAGAGTAGTGGGGAAGGAGAGGAGAGAGGAGAGGTCACACTGGGGACACTGACCCGTGCACTGAGGCCTCCAAGATAGGTCTCTGGGCCGTATCTCCCCATGGACCCTTCAGAGCCGTCCTCCCTGGCCAACTTGCCCTGCCCATCCCCCCACCCGGCCAGATCAGCAGCAGTACCCAGGCGGTACTCACCCAATGGCAGCTCCACCTGGGCCCTGACCCTCACTGTCCCCAGGTGGCCCAGGAGCTTCCCTCAAAGTTCCTTCTCTAGTCTCTCCTCATCTCCACGACCTCTGAACCTCCATGACCCCTGGCTCTCACAGGCCTGGGCCATTCTGTATCCAGATCTCCCACAAGCTCTCCAACACTCCCAGGTTTGTATGATTAACTTGAACTTCACTGTGAACTGCAGATGCCTAGGAAAGGCAGCATCCCCACTAGAATCTAAAGAAGCCTGAAAGCTATTCCCCCATCCCTCCCCAGCATCCCCCTTACAGCTGCTTGGACCAAGAAGCCTGAATTCAGTCTAGATGGGACTGTGGGTCTCTCTCACTATGTCTCTGCCCCACTAGGCCCTCCTGCCCCAGGCCCTTTGCATATGCTGTTCCCAGCGCCTAACATGCACCTTGCTGGTGTTCATGGAGTTTTCCTTCACCTTCTTTCAGTCTTTACTCACATGTCACTCCAGGCCACCCCACCTAAACCTCACCACCACTCCTGCAGTCCTTATCTTCCAACTTGATTTTTCTCCATAGTTATCACCTTCAAACAAATGATTCTTTTCTTTCTTTTTTTTGGGCGGGGGGCATTATCATCTGATTCTACCCTCTAAAGCAGCGGTTCTCAACCTGTGGGTCACGACCCCTTTGAGGGTACAGGGTCGCCGGGTACTCGTATGTGGGCATATCTGCATGTGGGCCTGGAGACGGATAGAGGAGCGGTGTCTCGGTTCCTAAGACCATCGAAAATATGTGTTTTCCGATGGTCTTAGACGACCCCTGTGAAAGGTTGAGAACCGCTGCTCTAAAGCAATACTAATAGAATTTTCTAGAATGACAGGAATGTTCTAAACCTGCATTGTCCAATATGGCAGCCACAAGTGGCCATTGAGCAGCTAAAATGTGGCTGGTGTGGCTGAGGACCAGAATGTGTGATTTTATGTAAGTTTAAAGTTGAAATAGCCACCTGTGGCCAACGGCTACTGTACTGGAGGCTGCAGCTAGAGCAGCAAGTCCAATAGGAACAGAACATGAGTGTATATGTCATTTTAGATTATCTCTCAGCCATGTTAAAAAAAAAAGTAGAAACAAATTAAAATTAATTTTAATAATGTATTCTAATTAACTCACTATACCCAAAATATTGTCATTTCAACATGTAATGGCTGTAACAAAGGCACTGGCAAGGTAGTTTCACTTCTTTGCCTTTGGAATTGGGGTGGATTTCACACAATCAGCAGGCCGTGGTTTGGACAGGCTCCATCTGAAGGGCTCAGTGGCCACATGTGCTCTAAAACGCCAGCGTTTGTCTGTGGTGTTCATGGCTGCACCCCAGCAGCACCCGCCATGTGGCAGGTGCTCAGGAAACACCTGTATGTGACTTGGCCCAGGGTGCCATCTGGGAGGGGTTGGAGGAGGACAGATGGGGTGGGGGATCCCTACATCTATTTCACCCCATCCCTCTGGATTCTTTCTGGAACCCTCCCCCATGGATAGCCTCATGCCCCCTCCCCCATGGCTGCCTCTGCCCCGCGCCAGCTCTCCCCCTTGCTCATGCAGGGCCCTCCGCCCTCCTGGACTTACCGGAAGGCATAGGAAGAGACAATGAGGAGCAAGGTGACCACGTGGTGAACAAGCATGACCACTGAATCCTTGCGCCAGGAGTCCATGTACAGCGTGGCATAGATGGAATGGCCGTAGAAGCTTCCCTGTAGCAGGTAGGCGGCTGCGATGTCCCGCGGCACCGCCATGCCCGGTGTCCAGTCTGTGAAGAGCCGGACCGTGCCGTCAGGGGCCTGCAGAGCTTCTGGGATCCCCAAGCAACCCTCTGTGCCCTCACACTGGACACGCATCCTCCCCATGCTGGGGCAGGCTGAGGGTCTCTGCGGGCGAACTGGCCACTGGTTTTCCATACCCAATTCTCTATCCATTACTGTTTT